GCATACACAATTATAGATAATTCAGTGTCTCTCTCTCTCTATCAAACTATTGTTTCATGGTATCAGAGCCCAGGTATACAATTCTAGCATTTTTCAATTTTGGTGTTTAGTCCTGTACACAGTGGAACTACACCAAACAGCTCGGAATCTCCTTACAATTCCAACGGCACCACGCACGTCATCAGAAACTCCCTCACGCGCTCTCACGCGCCTCCTTTGTGATCGGTGCGTCTCTTCTTCCGTCGCCACTCTCACACGCGCCTTCACGTGCCTTCAGGTCTGCTCCTTCATGCGCCGCGCCTGCTACCGTGCACCCGCGTGCGCCATCCCTCTACCACGAGCCGCACCTGCGCCGTTCCACTATCGTGCACCCACCTGCGCCATCCTGCTATTGTGAGTCGCGCGTGCGCCAGTTTTGCTAACGTGCACCGCTGACATCATCTTACATTCTGCTGACATCATCTCTACACAGCACATATTTCCTAGCTATTTTCGACCTTCCGGACTCATTGGTACACTCTGTTTTACCTAATTTTGCTCCTACAGGTCTATTCCTATTAATTTAGCCCGATTCAACTATTATTATGGATCGTCATGATGCCTCCCATCCCATTTCCGTTATTTTGAATGGTTCAAACTATGTTCTGTGGGCCCAAGCCATGTCTTCCTTCCTCAAATGAAAGAAGCTCTGGCGAATTATCATCGGGGATGTGACCAAACCGATGAAAGACAGTGACACTAATGAAACTACTACTACTACTGCTACATATGAAGACCGACTTGAGGAATGGGACAGTCAGAATTACCAAATCATTACCTAGTTTCGAAATACCTCTGTTACCTCTATCAATCTTCAGTTTGGTCGCTTTCAGCTTGACTCTGTAGCTACTCCTGCAAAAGACATCTGGAATTTTTTGAAAGAACGATACCAGACTACTGGTCTTGCCCGTCAATATCAACTTCAGAACCAACTTCACCGTATGCGCCAAGAATCCACTCAGTCCATTAATGACTTCCTTTCTCAAATGTACTCTGTTTGGGATCAACTTGCTCTTTCAGAACCAACTTGGCATGACCGAGAAGATGCCGTTTTATTTACTATCTATCGCAATCAGCAAAGGTTGGTGCACTTTCTCATGGCTCTTACTTCCTCTTTTGAGCCCGTACGTGTCTCTCTGCTTCATCGCCATCCATTGCCCACTCTTGAACAAGCAATTTCTGAGTTGCTATCAGAGGAGACTCGTCTCGGTAGTCTTCAAACTCATCATGTAGACTCTGTTCTTGCCACTCCTCTGTACCGGCCATCATTTACCTAGCGGACCACTGTCTGCCTCTATTGTTAGAATCGGGGCCTTCCTTCAACACATCTCCTGGTCAATTGCCCCGTCAGATCCTGCCGCTATTGCAACAAACTTGGTCCTGGTCATTTGCAACAAGATTGTTTTCGCAACCCATCCCGATCATCCTCCAATAGCCACTCCTCTCGCGGTGGCTCTTCCCGGGGGAGCTTTTATCGTTTCGGGAATCAGTCTCATCACACTGTTACTGCTGCTTCCGGGAATCAGTCTCATCACACTGCTGCTACTGCCTCTGAGGGGTTCTCTGAGTCACCTGCTCCGTCTACCCCTCGCTTTTCTCAAACAGATGTAGAGGCCATGCTCAAACATCTTCTCTCCCCTTCTGGTACACCTCCTCATACTGCTTTGTCTGTGATCCCAGGTAACTCTTCTTGGTATTTTGACTCTGTCTGTTGTAATCATATGACCTTCAGTTCTACTATATTTTCTTCCATCTCTTCATCTCTTCATATTTCCTTAATTCATACTGCTGATGGTTCCATTATGTCTATCCGTCATGTTGGTACTGTTTCCACATCTTTTTTATCTATACCTCAAGTTTATCATATCCCTGCTCTCACCTTAAACCTTATTTCCATTGGTCAATTATGTGAACTTGGTCTAACTGTCATATTTTCTGCTACTGATTGTTTGGTACAGGACCCTCAGACGGGGCAGACTATTGGGATCGGCCGTAAGCATGGACGTTTCTATGAACTCATTCACCTTCATGTTCCTGCCTCTCCTCAGATCGCTACTCCTGCATCTACTTCCTCATTATCTCCCTTTCATCTTTGGCATTGTCGCTTAGGGCATATTTCTGTTAATCGCTTAAAGTGTTTGGTTTTTAGTGGACAGTTGAGTCATGTAATTCCAGATAATTTCGATTCTATACCCTGTCAACTTGCCAAACAACCTGCTTTATCATTTAATAAAAGTACTTCTGTTTCCCTTGCACCTTTTGATCTTATACATTCGGATATTTAGGGCCCCTCCCTACTACTACTATGGGGGAATCTCGCTATTTTATTGTTTTTATTGATGATTTTTCCTGGTTTACTTGGCTTTTTCTCATGAAAAATAGGTCTGAACTTAAACACATTTATTATAGATTTGCCCAAATGGTCCACACCCAATTCTGCAAAGCCATCAAAATTTTTTGTTCTAACAATGCTATGGAATATCGAGATTCAGATTTCCTTTCCTTTCTTCAGCATCATGGTACAGGCTAGCTTTATGCTTTCGGCTAGCTTTATGCTTTCGGTGCCTCGCATCCAATGTACATCACAGGCTATAAGAAGAGAGCTAGGCTCCCTTTGTAAATTAACAAAATTATATACACATCTCATTTATTCACTTGCTCTCTCTCTCTCTCTATCTATCAATTTATCTTACAACCATAATGAAGAATAGGTAAAGGGTCTTAATTCTTCTTTCTTGGTCTTAATTCCCAAGTTTTAAAGTCTGTAATGTTTGAGTTTAGACCAATGCTTACAATAATGAGAAATTAAAAGACCAATTGCTTCAAGGGTCTTTTGGGGCACACACCACAACTCACTGATTCAAAGTATACCACTCAATACTTATACTCACAACCCTTTGTTAAAATTTCACACTGCTACAGCAGTTCGACTGATTGTAGGTATCTCTAACTGGTAACCAGTAAAAAATTTTAGTGATCTGATTGCAAAACTCTTCAAAAGAACAGCTTCAAAACAACCATTACATTGTGTAAAAAAATGCTTCAAGCAAAAAAAAAAATTATGCGTTGTTTTCCGCGTGTTTCCAGATTAAGAATGTGTGCAAATTGATTACTTCCCTAAGGCAAAGCCTAAAGCCTTAATTAAAAGCACACTTGCCAAAAATAAAAATTTAAGTCTCAATAATACTATTACCAATTACAAGTTCTTCATCCCTCTCATAAGGAAGTCTAAACCATTGTTACATTTTAAACATTCCCTCTCCCTCTTGAAGTAACCTCAAGAAACTAATATTAGAGGTGTTTACAAAATCAAAACACATTCTGATGGCTCTATTGAACGCTACAAAGCTCGTCTTGTTGCCAAGGGTTTCAACCAAGAATATGGTATTGATTATGAGGAGACATTCTCTCCTGTTGCTCGGCTTACCTCTGTTCGTAGTTTACTTGCTGTTGCTGCTACTCGCCCCTGGGGGCTCTTTTAGATGGATGTCAAAAATGCTTTCCTCAATGGTCATCTTCTTGAGGAGGTCTACATGCAACCTCCACCTGGGTCCACTTTTCCACCTCATCAGGTTTGCAAACTACAGGGTGCTTTCTATGGCCTCAAGCAAGCGCCTCGTGCTTGGTTTGCTAAGTTCAGTTCTACCATTCATGACTTCGGGTTCACCTCTAGCTCCTATGACTCTGCTCTTTTTATATGGACTACACCTCATGGTACCACTCTTCTTCTTCTGTATGTGGATGATATGATTATCACTGGTAATGATGAAGCTGGTATTCTCCACCTCAAACAGTTTCTCCACCGTCAGTTTGAGATGAAGGACCTTGGTACTCTTAACTACTTCTTAGGCCTTGAAGTCTCTCATGATTCTACTGGTTCCTATTTGTCCCAGGCCAAATATGCATCCGATCTTCTGGCTCGTGCTGGTCTTACTGATTGCAAAACTACCTCTACTCCAGTTAATCCTCAGATTCGTCTCACTCCTCTCGATGGGACTCTTCTCTCCGATGCTACTCTTTATCGCCAGCTCGTCGGCAGTCTTGTCTATCTCACAGTGACTCGTCCTGTCATTGCCTATGCTGTTCACATTGTCAGTCAGTACATGTCGGCTCCTCGCACTCCCCACTATACTGCTCTACTCCGCATCATTCGCTACCTCAAAGGCACTATGTTCCATGGCCTTCACTTCTCTGCTTCCTCCTCTCTTGAACTGCGTGCCTTTTCCAATGCTGATTAGGTTGGGGATCCTACGGATCGACGCTCTACCACGGGATTCTGCTTCTTCTTAGGGGATTCTCTTCTTGCTTGGCGTAGCAAAAAACAATCCCTCACTGCCCACTCTAGCACTGAAGCTGAATACCGAGCTCTTGCTGATACTACTCAAGAACTTCTCTGGCTTCGCTAGCTCCTTGTTGATATGGGTGTTTCTTCTTCTAGTCCTACCTCTCTCTATTGTGACAATCAGAGTGCCATTCAGATTGCTCACAATGATGTTTTTCATGATCGCACCAAACATATTGAGATTGATTGTCATTTCATTCGCCAGCATGTTACCTGTGGTACTGCTCGTCTTCTCCCTATTGCTTCAATCGATCAACCCGCTGATATCTTCACTAAGGCTCATCCTCCTGGACGCTTCAATGATCTTGTTTCCAAACTCAACTTGGTTAATGCTTTCCCTCCTTGAGTTTGCGGGGGGATGTTAGTGTATAATTGTTAATAGCTGTTATAGCATTATAGCTTAGAATTATAGCTTTAGCATAGCTTTATCTTTTATATTGTAAATGCTTTATGCTTTCGGTGGGCATCCAATGCATCATATCCTCTCTATAAAGAGAGTGCACTCTCTTTGTAAACTTGCATACACAATTACAGACAATTCAGTGTCTCTCTCTCTCTCTCTCTATCAAACTATTGTTTCAGTTTCCATGCTTCTCAATGTGGATTTTGTACACCCGGAATGTGCATTTCGCTCTTCTCGGCTCTTATCAATGCTGAAAAGACACCACGGGCGGAGCCCCCTCCAGGATTCTCCAAGCTGACAGTTTCAGAAGCTGAAAAGGCTATTGCGGGAAATCTCTGTCGATGTACTGGGTATCGGCCCATTGTTGATGCCTGCAAAAGCTTTGCCGCTGATGTTGACATGGAAGATTTGGGAATCAATTCTTTTTGGAAGACAGGAGAGAGTAATGAAGTGAAGGCAAGTAAATTACCATTTCACAACCCAAGTGATCAGATTTGTACATTTCCTGAGTTCTTGAAAAACGAAATTAGATCTTCTATGCTTTTGTGTTCCAAAAGTAATTATTGGTATCAGCCAGTTAATGTTAAGGAGCTTACGAGCATGCTGCTAGCTGAAAACGATACACAGGTTAAATTAGTTGTTGCTAACACAGGTACTGGTTATTACAAGGAAGTAGATCACTACGACAAATACATTGATCTGAGGCACGTCTGCTGATATAGCTTGACGTGGTATAGCTAGATGCACATGTTGGCTTGGTGTTGAAAGGTGGTGGCGACATGGAGCTCACGGTGAGAGAGAAGATGGAGAGAGAGAGAGAAGGTGGAAATAGAGATACGAAGTAATACAAATAAAATGACTGAGTAGAAAATATCTAAGGGTATTTATGACTTTTTATTACTTCTGTTACTTCCGTCCAAAATTACAGTTTAGTATTAAGTTTAGGGATTTAAATGTTACAAATGAAACTACAGGGAAGTTTCGTGTTTTTGGGGCAAACCACAGGGGGTTAAAGTGTAATTTACCCTTTGTCTTATTATCTGTTTGATATTTGTGTCACATTAGATTAGCAACAGAGTTTCTTTCCTTTCCTTTTTTTTAATAAATTAATTAATTATTAACAAGCATAGGTTGAACTGGTACAAATAATATATATTACTGCCCATTCGGCTTAATAATCCAACTAGAAATTTCCAAGTGTGGTAGTAGCCAAGCCAATATCCCCCCATTCTGCTTGTACATCTTAAAATTTGGAACACAAAAAGTTAGTAATGTTGTTAAGGACCACTAAGCTTGATCGTTTTTACATTTTATACCAATCCAGTCTAAATCACATGGGTTGATGTAATTTTTTAGAGAATGAATTGGTTTTGAATTTAATAAATTAAGATTTTTTTTTATTTTTTATTTTTTACGGGTCAATTCACAGGTTAAGGCTTAAAAATTTTAATTAAAAAAATAAAACCATTTTCTACAAGGATATTCCACAAGAAATATTTATGTTACTCATTGACTTCCTAGAATTCAATCTAATTTTAAAGTCAATGGCACATTCATTCATCCTATTTACAAAATATTGTCTTTGTATAAATGTGTTAATGTATTTTTTTCCACTATTTATTTTTTATTTTATTTTTTATTTTTTTTTGCATTTGTTATGTTATTATTAAATGGTAATTGCTATATGAAATAATGATGGTTTATATTTTTACACATTTTATAAATTTAGTTTGAAGAATATTATAAAAATTTGAAATACACTCGTAGATTTTTGAAATATTTTTATAGGTAGAATTAATATTTATTTAAATGGATAGTCTATATATATAGTGATTAAAAAAATAAAAATTAAAAATTAGCCAAGAACCATGGTATCGAACTGTTTTTGCAGTTTAACTTCAGCTTGGTTCAAAAGATTTCACGGTTTGATTTGATTCTCAAAATTTTGAAACCGTAAGAATTGGTTTTACTGATCATAAACATTTTAAATGGCGATTGAATGTTAACCATGTAAGAAATTCAATAAAATACAATTATGTACATTGACAGTAATCCAAATTCATACATAATTTATGACGGGCGGCTCAATGTATTAGATTGCTCCTAAGAAGAAGTCTGGTGAGAACAAGTAAAGTTATTTCTGTGACTTATTAAACTCAAACCATCACAACGCTAAAGATAAAATCTTTATTGTTGGACCAAGAAGTCACTTCAAATCCAGATATGATGATTAAATTATGGATGTGTGCGCGTGTGCGCGCGCACTTTTGTGTGCTATACAGAACAAAGCATAAACAATTTTAGTGCTTCACATCATCACAAGTATCTCAAAACCAGAGAGTCAAACCTCCACCCCATACCTAACAATAGATTGCAAGAAAGTGGAGAACAATGTGGATGCTTTCATAGATTGGGGGGCAAAGAGATATTTCTCAATAGTTTAGGGGTCTCCATGTAAATAACTCAAAACTTAATGAGTAATACTTGTCAAGTATGGGTTGTTTAGAGACCGGACTAATCTTGAATATGCTTTTAACGAAACATGCTCAAGTAGTTTGATTTTTTATAGTGCATATAAGTTTATCGAGCCAAATAATAAGTTCTTCAAACTTGACTTGATTGCATAACGAGCAGATCTAGAACAAGCTGAACACAAGTCAAGCTCGAGTATCTTGGCTTGTTTTACAGCCTTATGACAGAAGACTCGTGCACTGGGGCTGCTTTTTTGTTTTTTTGGGAAGTAAATTGTTTTCATTTTCTCTTTCTCAAGCTCAAAGCTCTCAGATCAGATGGATCAAAATCCAACGACGACATGTCACTCTAACTTGTTCAGATACTGTACTACTGTAGATGTTGCATGCAGGATGATACTATCGCCGTGCATAAAGAAGGTTTTTAGGTAAAGGTCTTAGTTGATGATCTAAGACAATCCCTAATAAAACATACAATATATGGACAAAGCCCATTGAACATATACATATGTTTGAATTTGAACTGAATATAAAATTGGAGGAGAATATAACTAACCCAGCAAGGCTGGTTTGTCCTCCACGTGGCAGCAGCCCAAAAGTCTTCCTCTACCTCTCACCAGCCATATTATTATCGTTACCTACATCGAACAATACAAGCATAAGCAGACAATAGTCTATGACAATATTTTAATTTTTGGTAAAAACGTAGAAGGTTTCTTCAAGTTGTCAAAGTCCAAACAAACCTCATTGAACACGAAAACAATAATGAAAAGAAGCATATTTAGATCAGTGAGAAGCCATGAATGCAGCTTTACCTCCTGCCATGGTGTCCTTAGGCTTTCTTCCAACTGGGTCCTTGCTAGAGTCATTAATCCACATCTCTAACGAGATCACGTCCATGGACAAGCTTCCATTGGTGCAGGCTAAGAATGTATCAACAATGATGAGAAGGATCAAGATTCTTTCTTCATTGTATGAGGAGATTCAAGAAACAAACAGACCACTTCCTCCATCATCAATCCTGTGTCTCACTGAGCTTTTTTCTGTTAATCGACGTGTCAAGCTTTTAATACAGGCGTGCAAGGAAGGAAGCACTTTGTGGAACCTCGTGCAGACAGAGATTATTTCGAATCAGTTTCATGTGATAGTGAAGGAGATGGGGAGAGCACTTGATATATTACCTCTGAGCTTGCTTGATCTAACTGCAGACACTAAAGAGCAGATTGAGCTTCTTCATAAGCAAGCGAAAAGAGTCCAATTGTTTGTTGATACAAGGGAGATTCAGAGAAAAGAGGAACTTCTCCAAGTTATGGCTGCAAACAATGAGAAGAACAGCAAGAACAAGGGCCTCATTGACTTGAGGAAATTGAGAGAGATCTTAAACAGCATTGGTTTGAGAAACTCATTTGATTATGACCAAGAAATATCGAAGTTAGGGGCAGAAGCTGAGAAACAGGCAGGCACTGGTGGGCTCATCGTGGTTTCCAACATCAACAATCTTGTATCCCTTGTTTCATTGTCCAAATCTATGATATTCAACGGGGAACAAAATGAGAAAAGCAATGAAGACTTGAGGCAGCGGACAGCATCATTTAGGCATCAAGATCATCATTCTTCATCTTCACAATCAATGGTATTTAACATACCCGATGAATTTCGCTGCCCCATTTCACTTGACTTGATGAGGGACCCTGTGATAGTAGCATCAGGGCAAACTTATGATCGAAATTCTATCGCCCAGTGGATAAATTCAGGGCACCACACATGCCCAAAAAGCGGGCAGAGGCTAATTCATATGGCCCTCATACCCAATTATGCACTCAAGTGTTTGGTCCATCAATGGTGTCAGGAGAACAATATCCCTGTAATTGATGGTACAACATCTTCATCTTCTTCAAGATTGGAGAGAAGCAACAGCAAGAGAAAGACGAGTGAGAAAACAATTGATCACATTTCCACCACAAAAACAGCCAACGATGCTGTCAAAATGACAGCAGAGTTTCTGGTGGGCAAACTGGCGACTGGATCTCTGGATATCCAAAGGCAAGCAGCATATGAGCTTCGGTTACTTGCAAAAACCGGAATGGATAATCGCAGATTAATTGCCGAGGCAGGAGCGATTCCCTTTCTGGTGACATTACTTGGTTCCCACGACCCAAGAATTCAAGAAAATGCAGTCACTGCCCTCCTCAACCTGTCCATTTTCGACAACAACAAGACACTAATAATGTCAGCTGGTGCAATTGACAACATCATAGAAGTTCTACAATCAGGGAAAACCATGGAGGCAAGAGAAAACGCAGCAGCAGCAATCTTCAGCTTGTCTATAATAGATGATCACAAAGTGATCATTGGTGCTCATCCCAGAGCCATTCAAGCATTGGTAGGGCTCCTCAGAGAAGGCAATACAGCAGGGAAAAGGGACGCTGCAACAGCACTTTTTAACCTTGCAATTTACAATGCAAACCAGGCAAGTGTTGTTGTTTCCGGGGCAGTTCCATTGCTCATTGACTTACTAATGGATGACAAGGCAGGCATTACGGATGATGCTTTGGCAGTGCTTTCTCTGCTTTTGGGGTGCTCTGAAGGGCTCGAGGAGATAAGGAAGAGTAGGGTGTTGGTGCCGCTCCTTATTGATCTCTTGAGATTTGGTTCTCCGAAGGGGAAAGAGAATTCAATAACTCTTCTATTGGGTCTGTGCAAAGATGGGGGAGACGATGTTGCAAGACGATTATTGATAAATCCAAGAAGCATACCTTCCCTCCGAAGCTTGGCTACAGATGGGTCTCTAAAAGCTCGAAGAAAAGCTGATGCTCTGCTTAGATTACTCAGCAGATGCTGCTCTCAATCTCAAAATCCTGTTGGATAAGAGGCAGAGTAAACAAAAAATAGCGAAATAAGGAAGTGTAAATTTGTGGAAATTACATACATGGAAATGGTGTTCATTGGCTATTTACAATTACAGCTTCCATACTTGTTCAATTTTTTTTTTATTTTTTTTTTCCCAATTTGGGATCATCTCTCAGATAAAGAGAGGATAAGAATCAAAAAATAGTGATTCAAATCAAGATTTCTCTGGTATTCAATGTCAAATCACAAAAAGAAAATATAGGCAAAAAGATACCAAAGCTTAGTTGTAATGTGTAGTTGGACCTCATGTCTTCTATCTTCTTCAGATTTTCTTGTTCATCAAATTGTGTCTGGCTCTCAATCTCTGGACACACAGCAACCTTTATGTGCCTCAAGATTATGAGGAAGCAACTCCTTGTTACTACCTACAGTAAAAACGAGAGAAATATGCAAGAATTACAAGATTAAGAAGAACATGTAAAGAGATCAATACTTACATAACTCAAAAAGACATATAGAAGCTTTTCAATTATCAAGAACAAACATGAGAGCATTCGAGAAGAGTAAGAGCATCAAAATCTACATATAAATGCCTGCTTGCGGCATTGGAAGTAGAACCAAGTAATGAATCCAGAATAATCACTCAATTTAAATTGGTATTGATACATATAATGCAAGGGTCTTGTTAACAAGTTCGCATTGGTTAACAAAGCTAAAAATAAATGTACATTCTTCGTGACAAGCATTCTCATAAAAAATCTACAATCACTTTAAGCATCTTAACAAGTACCCTTAGGGCATTTGTTAACAAAATCTATTTAACAAACGAGTACCAGAAATTTTATGGGTACACACGTCATTTAACAATTATTTGGTGTACTTTTCTTGCACTTACAGAGAGACAAAACTGGTTAACACAAACCTAATTTTGACTGTACCAACCAATGGCTGATCCTAAAATCAAGAGAGAGTACAGGTGCACTGTGTGAAAGATTTCCAGCAAAGGTAGAAGGCTGCAAAGAGTACAACAGTTTATTCTAGACTGCACGAATCACACCCTGATAGAGAAATAGCATCAACTCCAGTCATTTTAATAAATGATTGAATCAAGATCCAAAAATAATAAATTACAACCAAGAAGCAAAGACCTTTTGCAGCAGAAAGAAAATTCACCATCTACATGATAAAGTCGGCCATCTAGATAGAAACATTAAATTTATATCTTCTATTACGCTGTCTTTACACTTAATTTACATCTAAGTTACATGAGCTGCAGCCGGGAAACTTTTAGTCTTACTAGGCTCTCAATTAACATACTATTACAATAAAGATCTGAGAGTAAGAGAGGGTTGAACTTCGGTTCAACCAAGAATGAATCAACCCCGATAAATTGGTAGTGAGCTCTGGGTACTTTTGTGAACCACAGTTCACATAAGGCAAGGTCACAGATCTGGTTAGTCTTCTACAGCTCCACCAATTCCAATTGAATGTGTGTTCCATTTATTTTGTAGCTCCAGAACCAGCTTCCCAAATCCATCAATTTCTCTTCAATAAGGTTTAAATGTTCTACGAAGCCTGAAGTGAAAATGGAAAACAAAAGATAAGTAGACCAATTAGATTCTTTCAGCAGAACTTCTGCAAAGATTTAAATCAAAACATAAACCTAATCAAATGGAATCTAGTGTGTGTGTGTGTGTGAGAGAGAGAGTGAGAGAGAGAGAGAGAGAATTTTCCATGGATGTAAATAATTGAATATTGGGTGATTTAAAAAGAAAATGATCCCTCTGACCAAAAAAACAAGAAACACATTATGGCAACTGCTTTTGCAACTCGATTGCAGTAAATCATTGGCAATAAGCTTTGCACTAACCAAAGAAGAAAGGAAATCAGGCATTCAAGTCACATTAAATTATTCGGGAAAAAGTCGTCATTGAAATTTATAAAAGACATTATTTGAGATTTATTTGCATGCCCTGTCATAATTGACAATAACCAAGGTAAACTTTAACATAATATGTATAATCAAATATATTTTGATAACAATACATGTTATATTAACCTCAAATTAAAAACCTGAATTTCCAGATGTGATCTTCAATTTGTAGCCATGTGGGACTTCAAAGACATGATTGCCCTGCATTTGGTAAAAGCAGCAAAAGAAAATTTTCAGTACATTATGTTCATTGGAATAAGTAAAAATAATTTTCATTTAGAACTAACTAGCATATAAAAGGTCCATATTTGGCATCGTGAACCCTTCATTGATGAGCTTGCGTTAATAAAACTAATAGTATTAGCTCCTCACTGGATGCAAACTTGGATCAGTTTCATACTAGACAATGGTTTCACTTTTGACCTGAAGGTAGAATCTATTAGATTGGTATTCATTCTTCAACCTATGGGCTACACCAGCATTTTATGCAGAACCTATTGCTGCAAGTTGTAATTTCTAGCATGAAACAATTCAGTATTACCTGAATAAGCAGCAGTTAAATTCCATAAATACCCCTTCTTCCTTTTTTCATTATATGGGTAAAGAAATATCATCAATGTCAGAGCATGCCAGACCAAAGTACACAAAAGTAAAAGAAGAAGACCACCTCCAACATTACTCAAAACCTGAACAACTCAATCCTATAATGCATATTATCTAACCTGAAAGACAACATCTGTTGCTTCAAATTCAGCATTTCCATGCAGTATGACCTTTAATGCCTCAAACCGCTGTACATCATGCTTCCAGTATGTGTTGTTTCCTGAAGTCCAATCAATTCCTTCATTCAGTACTTTGACATTCTGTAACTTACATCTTCCACACCTACAAAATAGAATTCCATTCAAACTTCAAGTTGGTTGCTACAACTCTTTGAAAACATAAAGACAAACAAAATCAGACTCATCTATTACCTGTGCCCATATCTTAGTTTGAGCTCACCATTTTCATCAATCCTAGTTGAGCCCAGGATATTTTCAGCCACAACTATCAAACTTCCATGGAGCTGGAAATAGAGGAACCAGATCAGCCGAGAGAAACAATTTGCATCCCATCACTTATTTGGGAGAAGAATATTAAAACCTGAACATTTCTCCACGAGAATTCAGCAACCTCTATTTGTAACTCGGAACCCTCGGAAATGGAACCTCCACGAAACTGGGGCAAGAAGACAGAAATGACAGTTACAATTTAATTATGTATAACTGCTTAGTGCTTCAATCATTAAACAACAACAAATGCATACACTTCCTGTAAAATTTAATGTATAAAGAGAAATAGAGAGAGAATAAATTGTATGTATTATTGATTAATTTATATTGATCTCTATTACAATGATTCATGATTCCTATATATAGAAGAGGGTGAGTGTGTAGTAGGTAAGGAGTAGGTGAAGTGGAGGTGGTAGTGGTGTAGTGGGTTAGGTCAATTTAATTATGTATGACTGCTTAGTGCTTCAATCATTGAACGACAACAAATGCATACACTTCCAATGCAATCAACAAGGTATAATTCAAAACAGCTGCTTGATTGCTACAGGAAACTGCGGAGTCCAATGAGCCATGTTAGCTTATTAGTCTTAGTTGATATGCTGTGTTATGTTTTGTTTTACGGATGAGGGTATTCTTGTCATTTGTGTCCTTTATTTGTTTTAAAGTCTTAGTTGATATGCTGTGTTATGTTTTGTTTTACGGATGAGGGTATTCTTGTCATTTGTGTCCTTTATTTGTTTTAACATAAATACGAGGTAAAGGTACAAGTTAGTTAGATGACCCTGAACCTATTCGTTTTAAGTCTCTCTTCTTCCTCTCTTCTCCTCTTTCCCTAACCGTAATTCTCATCCTATATATTCTAACTAACTATTAAGTCACAAGAAATAACAGTTGGAAAACTCTTTTTGAAAATCAAATATTGACAACTTCCCAGCTCTAATTGGTAAGACCCAGTTTCTCTAATGTTCCAAATATACAAATAAAAATTATAATGTTTTCCTGATTTTAACAAAATTAAGAGTTTTGTACATATTAACCAGAATTTTAGGCAATTCCCATGCAATACAAGCTTAAATATAAAAAGCAAAGTCTGAAAAAATTGAGTGTACTTTTTGTCTGGTGACTTCCCACAGTGGGCCCAAAGCAGGATGAAGGAAGATGAGATATGGGGGTCCAGAATCAACATATTTGTCATTACCTTCAATCTGTGTAACACAATAAACAAAAGAGAATAACTGAACAAAGTTTCAAAAAATATATATCTACATGTACCAGAAAATATAAGCCCGACCAGCATAAGAAAAAATTATCTTAGTTAGAATCTTGTGGTGGAGAAAACTAGCAACAGCATTCATCACAAATCCTGGGACGAATGTTCAATATTAAAGTTGCAGATGTAAAAGGATGTACCTTAGGAATTTTTATATCACAGTGAGAAAGAAGATCATAGGCATTGCGTATAATATCCAACAGTGAACCTTCTGGAGTCTGCACATGTTGAACAAACATTGGATCAGCAATCCTCAGGTTCGCTAGGAAGTTCATGCTACCAAATTGCAAGGATTAGACTCTGATTCCAGTGCAAAGGAATTGGATACCATCGTGAAAGTTTAAAACCTAAACAATTGAGCATTGATAACAGTGATTTTTATCATATCAATTGTGGTCTGCGTGAGGTGGCCAAAGAAGCCGAGTTATTTCTTACAAGTTATTTATTATATACGTTAACACAATCTCATTGCACTGAAGGAGAATATGAAAGTTCTTTAATTGACTAATTTAGCTAATACATCATGTTTTGATCTAACAGTTCAGATGGAAGTTGATTAGAACCCCAGATTTTTGGGGTGAACTTGACATTGAATGATAATGCAAGGCAGTCCAGGAATAAATCTCACCCAGCAAGAAGACAATGGGGGCAGACCAACTAAAAAACAGGTAGAACCATAGGTAGTTTGGCCAACAGGAATATAAACCAAGAAATATTCTAAGACAGTAGTTGCTATCATTATAGTCAAATCATAAGATAAGAAGACATGTGAAAATTTTACTATTGAAATTTTTGATAAAACAGTACTACTAGCTAAGGGTGCACATCTGAACCGGTTAGCCCAAAAACAAAACTGCAACTGATATCTATGGTTCAGTTTGAACCAATTTTCTGGTGAAACCAGTTCTCCAGTTCCAAAACCTGGAGAATGAACTCTTTGGTTTAGTTTGAATTTGGAGGCTTCGTTACTCAAACTAACCCGAGAACCAACCTCTAATATGTATAATTTAACCTGTTACCATGGTCCATTTGGCTTTTTGATGGTGGAATCTCAAAGTTAAATCTATATTGCATCCCAATTGAATAAGGATATACACAACAAATTATTACAGAAGCAAAACCTGGTGCAAAGACTTGTCAGCATGTCTTCTTTTCCTCTTAGCAGATGATGTGACCTTCCTTCGCTCATTATACACAATAAAAGTATCCAGCACATCTGCTATTATGCAATCAAAAGAGCTTCCATTAACATATAAGACGTATTATAAAAACACTTATTGTATGAAGTGCAACAAACTCTAAACCAAACACTGACCACTGCCATACCTTCTACACCTTTATAACATCGAGATGAATGTGTACTGAAAAAATTATCAGCCATGTTTTGCATTGTGCATTCCAGCCGTCCACCAAAGACACTAGTGCAAACAAATAGTGATTAGCATTCAGATTAAGTCATTATAACTGACAACTGATATAGTAAAACAATCATTGATGAAAAAGGAAACTCTTCAGGCAGAAGACATTGCAAGCTCTACGGGTTAATCTAAACACAGAGGGTGAAAACAATTCTGGGTTCATTATGATAAATTGTGTTCACCACCCTTTAAATGATACAGACTCATTAATTGATATACTCAGACCTTGATGCAACTTATTATAAAATATCCACAGAGCAGAATCCAGACAAATCAGGATTGAATCAATAGAACTGAAAATTAACTCCAATTGCAACAAAACAATTCTATGTTACATTGTCAAATTAAGGGCATGTTTGTTGCAGCTTATTCTTGTTGGAACAGTTAGAATAGAAATATTTAGAATAATATCCCGTGATTGATGAATTATGGGATCCTTGGCTTATTCAGGGTAATTTATTTTATTCTTATTTCCTAAGTTGTAAATCTGTTTCAATATAAATGCATGGCCTCACCTCATTGAAAGTTAAGCCAATTACACAAATCTTCTATTCTAAGCTGGAAGCTGAAAATCTATAAGCAGAATCCAACAGTAGCCCCCTCCTAGCTTCAGGATAATTAGATTTTCCCGCTTATTTAAGTTATTTTAACACATGCTGTAAACGAAAGCTACAACAAACAGTCTGGCACAAAATCCCAAAAAAATCCATATGCAGCATATTTAAGCTACAACAAACAGGCCTATACATTCACTTTTTCCTTAGTGCTTTCTGCTCTTTTTCCCTCAACTAACAATAAAAAATAAAATAAAATAACAGCAGTGACACATATAACTGCTGATGTAATTGCACTAGATGCCAAATTAATCTTTAAGATAATGCCTTCAACTAAACTTTACTGGAGCATGTTTCATTTGGTATTTGAGTAGCATTATTTTAAATTGAAAAAGTAATATCAATGACAGGTAAGAAACGTTTAGATATTTGTTTGAAGACATTATCTCGCCATTGATTTTATATATTATTTTTAAAACATTTTTATTTTTTTATAATTTTTGTGAATTCTTAGATTACTGAACATATGTTCTATTGTAAAGAAAGAATACAAGAATGCCAAGAAATTAAAGATACTTAAAATAGTTTACTTGAAGATAATGTGCAATTTATCAATCATGAACAGAATGTGCTCAGACATTGTGTAAAGGTAAACCTAGCATGTATAATTGGACAAGCATTGGTCAAATGAATAAGAACACAACTTCTAGCTGTATAAAAAGATATAAAAACATAAATAAATAATAAAGTGACTGTAGGCCAGCAATCAAAAGTTCTAGAAACATACCAATGCTGGATTCCAAACTGATCCATGTATGTAATTGGCTTCTTTATATTGAGCACCATGCCTGGCAAACTGGTTTCACTATTGCTTGATCCAATAAGCTCTGCAGAAGGTAAATCCACATATAGAATGTTTGTATTGGCAGGGAACTCTGCCTGCAAACTTAACATGATAAATACAATTCAGTGGATTTGTTGAAACTTCCTCGTGGCTCGATAGATAATTTGATAAGCCAATGATTTTTTTCCATGTTTCAGAATAAAGTTGTTGGAAAACATTTTAGAATCTTCTGCTGAGAGAATACTGGAAAGGAAACATGATGGCTGACTAAGAGGATCAAAGTACTGGAAAAGATGTGATACGTAACCAAAAACAAATAACAAATACATCTCAACTTCACACCAAGTAAATTACAAAAAAGCCCATAAAAAAACTAGATAAACACCTCTATGTAATGTGATGCAACCCGTGAAAACTCATTATTAAGTTGAACAGCTACAACACTAGAAAGCCTTCAACCAGTCTAATTGATGTGCAAACATTACCTGGTCTTGCCCTCGCTCTCTCTCTCTCTCCACTGCAACCTCCTTTCAACAATCAATTGGGTTTCTGGAAGTTCTTCCAAAATAATATTAGGTTCCTCATAGTTTGGAACTGCTTGATCCACAATTTATTTAAAATTGCTTTCATCTCTTGCAAATCTTTTTCATCTCCTGGTGTTCTTGAGATGGGGTCTCAAATTTGGAGTTTAACACAGCATTGGTGAACATGGCTAATGAAAAAATAAAATATATATATTCAAATAATGATTTTGGTTCAATCGATGACGCTGTATGAAGAAGGTAACCACGCCCAATTGAGTACAGAAAGGTGGATCAAAGTTGGGCTCTGATACCAATTGATGTAGAACCGCTATTAAGAAATCTGTTCAACTATTCAATTAATCCAAAACCAAAAAATATGGAGAATTGCTCCGAAAGGGAAGAGCAAAAAAATTACAAAGAAGAAGAAATAGGAGGAAGAAGAAGAACACAAGGGCGACACAGCCTACTCAATATCTCATTATTCAAAACTATCTATTACAAAGCAAAACCTAACATTTACATGCTAAAAACCCTAATTTAAAATAGGAAACTAAATCATCACATTATTTACAAAAAGATGTACAGAAAAGTAGAGAGAAGAGTTGACTTTTTGGCTTTTTGGCTATTTTAGGTTGCCAAATTTGCCTTAATCTATAATAAAGTAAGTAACTAAATAAGATCCTAATTAAACTATCAACAAAATAAATAAATGAACTTTCTGTGTCACATTCCGCATAAGTGAGGAAAGGGTGTTTTGTTGCAATTTATTAATTAAGAGAGAATATTATGGGCCACAATCTGTTTACAAACATATCACCAAAGGTGGTGATTGTTGAAAGGAAGTTGCAGTGAAGAGAGAGAGAGAGGGTGGGCAAAGGGTGTTTTGTTGCAATTTATTAATTAAGAAAGAACGTTATGGACCATAATCTGTTTACAAGCTGTTAGATTGATCATAACTTTATGGTAGGATTTGACTATTATTTATAACAGCTTATGCCTATTCATTTTATTACTTTCAGTTCTAAAAAGCGTGATGCATGGATATAAAGGTAAAGAATATGGAATATGAAAGTAGAGTACTTTTACCAGGTGTTCCGCTTATGTTCAAATAATATACTCAACTAGTTGAATACAGACAGGCAGTAATATGGTCAATCCCAATCTACCATCTAAGGCTCATCCTAATTATTTAGAAATCTATATGAATTGTTTGAGGTCCCTGCATTCCAAAATGGGACCTCATGAGAATAAATATAATAACCTCCGATTAGGATCTATTTTAATTGTGTAAGATCCCCCCTTGCATTACAAAATGTCACCTCATGAGAGTGTATTAAACTAGTTAGTTTATTCTACCAAGTAAGAACACAGAAATTTCTGTCTCTCAGGTTTTTTGCATTTCTTTTCATGGTGACTAAAACATGGGGAATGGAGAAACCATTAAATACAATAGTATAGAAAAGATGGAAAGTAGATGGGGGACTTCTATCTGTGATGTTATTAAGAACTAAAGGTTCTCTTCATGCAACTGCCATACACTGCGTGCACAATGTTAGTGTTAGGTCTAGCATTAGGTTGGCAATTTCACGACTTTGTATGTACAACCTTAGGGAAAATCAAAGCCACTACCTATGAGTATATTGGACTACCTATATGAGTCCATGACACCTTGGAAGCTTGCGATGTTATGAGAGATCTTCATCAGCATGGAAGAAGTGCTATAGAAGAGCTTCGTCAGCATGAAGAAAGTTTTGGACAAGAGAGAACCAAATTAGGACAAGTTTTGCTAACTTGGTCAACCATATTGCGTAGAGTGATTGACCATAGATAGGTCTAGAGGGTAGGATTAGTTTGTCCCACAGTATGGTCAACCACATCCTGGTAGAAATCCCAAGAGCCCAAAACAGCAGACCACAGTATGGTTGACTGTCTTGACGGAGGTGGTTAACGATGGCGTCTTGTGATCAACACTGTTGGCACATATACCCAAATTTATGATAAAATTTCAAAATGCAACGGGATGATGAGACCACTGAAACTCAAAAGTCTTTGAACCCATATAAGCCAAGCGACACATGGAGAATGACAAGATCAATTAGTCGACAACACATACAGAGCCTACAGTGGAAATGTTGTAGGAAACCACCTCTTGAAAGGATCAACATGATCTGTTGAAGTAAGTGATAAAATACAATAACGTTGTATTTCAATGATGTTATTCAAGATATTCAAGTGACATGTGGAGCCTACGAGACTTGAAGTACAGTATGCTCAATCAAAGGATGACACCTGTAGAGCTTATAGCAAGGAAACTATAGGGGATAAAATCTGCGACATCAACGCGATCAACCAAATTTGTTATGATAACATTATAGCGAAATCATACAATTTGAAATTCAAAATGAAAATAATGCAATCTTATCACATAGATTGTCCTCTATAAATGTGAAAACCATCATCACACGAGAGTGGGGCCGAAAATAAAAGATAAAAAATCAAAGATCGAAAACTACAAGAGAAAAACAAAGGATCAAAGATTAAAAAATCACGGAGAAAAAGAAATCAGAGGTCGAAAGAATTTTGAAAAGAAGGAAGAGAGACCAAGAGAACTCAAGAGCTACTTGTGAAGAGCGACAAGTGTTGGTATTCAACACTATACATAAGCACATAGTACAATGACAAGCAATAGGAAAAGGGTCCCAAACCCAACAATTGTACCTTGCGTATTCAGGGTTTTTAAAGCCCAAAAAATTCAATGAAATGTTTCATTTTTTAAAATTTCCTTTTGTTAAGTTTTTTGCTTTTCATTAATCGGAGATTTCATTTGCTTTAAGTGTGTAATTAACACTGTTTAGTCCAAAAAAACTAAACAATGGACAATTGTAACATGAATTTCAAACTGTGTTGAAACATTTCACGCTTCGAAATTTGTGTCTACAACCACACTTGGAAATTTTTTCATAAAATATATATAGTCCTTAACTAGCCATTGGGGAGCTATGGTATATATACCAAATGCCACCATATGGTATTTCTAGTTCAGAAAAATCTATTAGAGTACACTCTTGATCACATCTCAAAGAGGCTAACACCCTTGTATGAGTCAGAGTGAGAGAAGAGTGAGAGTGAGCTTGAGCCTTGCAACTTTGGTTAGAGAGATTACTCCGTTTGGGAGCTATAGTGATGCTACCTTGTTCGAGTGTTTTTGGGATTGCGTTTTTCCCCTTTTAAGTTGAGTCAAGAAAACCTTATTATTTATATTTGTTAATTGACGTAAAAATTGAAGGTGATCCAAGGAAAAAGCCCTTGGAGTTGACCTAGGGAAAACCCATTTGGATTGGTGGAGTTAAAATCGGTAACAAGACATGGAGTGGATGTGCAATGTGTTGAACCACTACAAATTCTTGTGCTCTTCTTCTTTACATTTCTTGCACTTATTTTATATACTATTAGATTGTAGACCAACAACTCATCTAAAAGCTTAAGCTATTAGAGAAAGGGGAAACTTTACTACTAATATTCTATTCTCAACACACACCCCCACATGGTTGGGCTCTCCTTCGTAAACGAGTCAAACACATGCAAGTTTTATTAATTATCAAGTAAACGGTGAGATTTGAACACATAATTTATAACTTACTCTGATACCATATTAAAATGTTGACCACCAAATCATCTAAAAGCTTAAGCTATTAGAGAGAGGGCAACTTTATTATTTATATTATAATTACTTGATAGTTTATCACTTGTGATATTATCTCTATTTACTTTTAAGTGGATTAGAGTTCATTTGTGTAAATTTTATTGAAATTTGATTAGAAAAGTAATTGACTTAAATTTTGTATAAAGAAAATCAAATCAGTTGATGTCTTATTGAGTGCCTTAAGGGAAAATATTTCATAATTAATATCACTATGGTATTGGTTAAAGGAACAAAGTGATTAGACCTTCATCGGAAATTAAATTGGCTTCTATCAATACAACCGAAATGCATTATTGGGAAAAGGACTTGAAAGACAAAACATAGTTCAATCACACTCAAGGACATTTTTCACACAAGGCTCTTGCTTATAGCAGGGTTTGACAGAGGTAGTAGGTAAGCAGTTGTACACCAACTTTTTTCGTCGTTTTTATTATTATTATTATTATTATTATTTTATTTTATTTTATATTTTGTGTCTGTGTGGAGACATTAAATCTTGTGACTCAAACCTATGCCACAACATTGGAGCATATAGCACTTGCCATAATTGTGCTTTGCCACATGCAAGAAAGATTATTAAAAAAAAAGGGCCTAAAGAGTTGTTACACGGAGCCCAATGTCTCGAAATTAAATCCTTCTAACCATATAAGTTGTTGCAGCATCATAACTTCTTAATTCTAGCAAATGCCAAGACTTTAGATGCCAATAATACAGGATCCATATTGCTCAAAAACTTCTTTTTTATTATCAGGAACATGGATGCCAATAAAAGTGGTATCCCAAGATTTTAACATTTGTCAGACATCAACATCAAATAGTAGTACAAAACTCTAAAGTTCTTTCCTCCATATCCACTATCAATCAATAATACAATCATTTCTCTTTATACATTAAATTTCTACAAAATAGTAGTACAAAACTCTAAAGTTCTTTCCTCCATATCCACACTAATAACAACAACATTGTTTAGCTCATTAATAACAACATACCATACTGGCATGCAAAAAAATGTTCACGTAGCAAATAGTATACCAGTATATAGTTCAGTAAGCATTTACTCACATGTATACAATGTAGTATGCAAATACTGTTTCACCTAGGGTATTTGATACATCCCTTTTACAGTACATTCTTACAATTACTATATATATATATATATATTTTTTTTTTTCTATTTTGAAAATATATTGTGATATCCAATAATCTCAGTTGCCTCTTAATCCAGAAGTTTCAAGTTTGACCACATTAATTAGCAAATACAGCACAAATTTTGAATATCCAACAGCTACACATTGGGATATCAGACAGCGCAATAGTTTGGAGAGTAGGAATATAAATGTATTATGATAGATTGTTTCTAAAACACAAATGTAAACAGACCCATCAAAAAGAAAAGGAAAAAATAAGGGAAATGCTATTCACTCTTCTTTTAGCATCTCACAGACCTTTTCTTGTCATTTCCCAAAAATAATGGCATAATGTGAAATGGAAATACAACAGAAACTAAACAGCAACTGCTGAACAAATTCATCAACCATCTTTTTGCAAGCTTAGAGCAGAATGGATTTCAAAAATACCTATTAGGAGAAAGAGGTTCAACAGTGATCCCAAACTTGTCAAACTCAGTGTACTCAATGCATGATAAACCATATGCCCACATTCCATCAAGATTTTTTTTCTCAACTAAAACATTTATTCCTTCTGTAGCCCCCACGTTCCGCTTACAGGACGCAAACCCCAGTTTCTGTAAGATTAGGTAATAATCAAGGCACAGTAAAGTAAACTAAAAGAATACAACATTCCTCTCTCATAAGAGCAATCAATTCCATGTTAATGTCAAGACACACAGCATCTAATTCCCTATCTATTTTTCCCATTTTTGAAAGAAATGCACCTTATAAAAAGGCTAAGCTACACATTTTCGGAAATGTTTTTCCTTTTTTTTCTCTAGAGCCCCACTTACAATATTGAGATGCAATCTATCGAGAATAGAGGCAAATATATCCATGTCAAATAAGTCAATAACAGAACATGCAAGTGCACAACCAAGAATGCACCAGTCCAATATATATACAGGTTTAAAACTCGTAAAGGATGTAATCAAAAGATGAGAATAAATCCCAGAGCTTTTAGCATAGCAAGGGACAAGAAGGTTTCAATTGTAAAATGTGTCTGTCATGGTCGGCAATGGGCTTTAATACCCCTGTTCCTTTTTTTCGATAGTTTAGGATTAGGGGTTGCAACATGTGGACACCCTAACGGAAATATTTATGATCTTTACGATGCCAATGAAGCATTTATTTTGAGATGATTATTGTTTCATGGTAAAGAAGTCCTCTCCCATGTCTCATAATTTTTCTAGAGGGCAAAATTCATTTTATCGCATTGTGATTTGAGCCAGAAACACTGTACTCCCTTATGGTTCAAATATAGGTAGATAGACTACCTGTGATTTTGGACTAATTGCAACAATTACATTTTCCATCCAAACTAATGGAAGGTGGCATACACTTGCCAAGTTTGAGAGTGGACTTTCTAAAAATTATACTCACATTAAAATACAAAAAGTTATTTTTACCCTTCATCTTCATCATCATCTACCTTCAACCCTAAAAACCCTAACCCCAACCCTAACCCTAACCCTAACCCTAACCCTAACCCTAACCCTAACCTACCCCACCCTCCCTCCCTAACCACCTAATCTAGTCTCTCTATGTCCTCCTACCATCTCTCCTCCCCAACCAGCCCCTCTCTGACCACCACTGCTTCCCAGCCACTCACTAACCTCACCAATTATCGTTGAACTCCTCCTCCAAATCCATTGGTTCACAGCCACAGTTCGCACGCACGCACGTGGATCCACAATCGCACACACAACCATGATATGCATCCAACTGGTTTAAATTCACAGTTTGCACATAGATCCACTGGTCAGATCTTTTATGTTTCATTCATTTGTAAGTACAATTAATTGTTGGTTGGAGCTCTTCATAGGAAATTCTATAATACACACCCCAAAAAAGAGTGTACCATATGCCCCAGTTACAACCTTTTGTAGTGTTTGGTTATGACCCATTGTGATGTTGGCTATGACTTGATTATGACTCATCGTGGTGTTGGTTATGACTAAGTTATGACCTATTGTGGTTATTTTGGTTATGACCGAAAAGGTCTTTAGTTATGCCTTAAGTGGTGTTCGTGTTTGGTTATGACCCATTGTGGTCCCTTTGGTTATGATTGAAATTGATTTGATTATGACACAAAGTGTTATCAACACCACAAAATGTCATTACTTACATATGACACACCCCTTTTTTAGGGTGTATTGTAGAAAGACCACTCTTCATAGCAATCCACAATTTGCAACCCATGGCTCGCACCCACTGTGTGTAAATATACATATCATAGCATTTGTGAAATTTCAATTACTGTAAAAATATATATAGCTGGTATGTCATATTTGAAATTTTTTTTCTCTTCAAATGAGATTCCTTTGTGTATATTTTTTATCCATTAAAATTGATGTTGGTGGTGGTTGAATTGAATACAATGGTGAAGATGATTTTATTTTCAGTTAACTAAGAAAGAGAAGACGAGCAGGAGGGTACAAAGGTCTTTTTTCATTTTTTGTTAAAATGCTGCTAATAGCCCCCACTTTATTACTTTGGACCCCCTCCCCCAAAAAATTTCTTTCAACCCCAACCCTACAAAATTCAAAATTGAGAAAATTTCTAAGGACCCTTCACATAATACCAAAACTATCATTCTTCCAAAACACTACACACCCACCTAGATGCACACCCTTACAATTAGCACACCAAGTAAAAACCCCCTCCTAAAAACTCACCATCACAGCCCCCTCACTGACAATCTCACTGCCAAAGATCTCTCTCACCACCAACGATCTCTCACCTACAACTATCTCTCATCAACAATCTCTTACCGACAATAATCTCACCACTAACAATATATTTAATATTTATGTTAGGAACTATATTGCTTAGCCAACTAGCAATTTACATTCGATCTTGTGTTACCGAACAAATTGACACGTTCAGACTTGTGTTACTGGACATTTTACCAAACAAATTGTCTAGGTTCATACCTATGACTTAGAAAATATGAGTGCCACTATCTACCACCAATACCACTATCATATTCTATACATGCCATTATCTACCACCAACACCACTATCATATTCTATACATGCCACTATCTACCACCAACACCACTATCATATGCCACTATCTTATTATATGCATTAACACAAATTTCCAGCACTATGTTACCGAACAGTCTAGTATCTGAATAAAGTCTAACCAATTTAAGTTTAACAAACAAATATAAGCTATGTTCGGTTAGACCTTGTCGAATTACTGCCTTTAATTTGACCCTGTGTTAACAATTTTTTGGCATATGTCCGAGAGTTCAGTACTGAAAAAATATCAAACCGTTATTATTATTATTATTATTATCAAATTTTTTTTGTGTTTGAAAAAACTCATCATTACAAGGTCAACTTCCTCCGAGCTACAAACCTCATCGAAATTGTGAACCTCGTATGACCTGACATTGCGATGCTCCAATTGTCTCACTGTATTGGGGTTGCCGGAAAAGCTTTCACTCGTGAGAATTGGTCAAGCCGAAGAAGTCAAGTCCTAAGTCATGCGAATTGGTCTAGTCGGAAAAGGCTTGCTGGATTAGCAACACTCGACTTCTGAAGATTTTGAATTCTTATTACGTGTGGGTTTGATGGAGGTGGGTACTCTCAACTCATATTATGTTTATGATTTGGTAGGTGAGTTTAATTCTAATTGTGAGATGGGTGTCAGATTTGATGACTTGTCTTTTTTAGTATTGAGGTTATTATTGTAATAAATAAATAAACTAATAAGTGGGGGTCTTGAGTAATAAAGTGGGGGCTATTAGCAGCACTCTAGTCCAAAACCACGAGAAGGGCATTTGCATATTTTTACATGACAGGTGGTAAACTACTTCGGAGCTATACTATAGGGGGTAAAACAAAATTTGGCCCCTTTTCTTAAAGACTTTAGGGCAATATGTTCTTTTCTTGTTGAATTTTGTTGGCCTTTTCTAGTATATGGATGTTTATGTGGCATGCACCTTCATTAATTTGGCATCGAACTCATTGAACATTCAGGAAGTTCTTTGTCCTTATTACATATATTTGGCATATTTGGCCATGTTTGAACCAAAAAAATTTTTATAGGACATGGAAATTGGGATATGTACATAGTTAATAGCTTATGGGTAATACCCAATACTAACACCCACATAATGTGGGTGTTTGGGAAGTTGCTATTTTAGTAGGCTATTTTAGTTTTTGACTATTTTAGGAGGCTAAAATTTTTGTGTTTGGGAAGAAAGTTGGATTTTTTTGTAGTTGGATGTAATGTTTGTAAGAGAAAAAGTAAAATGATTATGAGTTTGATGTAGCATTTTGTCTTATTGGCTATTTTAACCTATTTTGTCTTTTAGTACTATTTTAGCCCAAAAAAACCAAAAAAGTTTCTTCCCAAACACCCCCAATATGTAGTTACATCTAAATCACGGGTAATCAATGATGTAGGACGGTCGGAGAAGAAAAAACAAAATAATTAATAAGAAAACAAACCACACTCAAAGAAAATAACCAAACCCTAATTTAATAAAAACTCTCAATTCAATATTCATTCAAAGATCTGGAGCCCTACTGCATAATGGTCTATTTATAGGCAACCAAAACCCTAATTAAGAGTTTCCAAAAATAAAATCCTACCTAATAAGTAGAACATTCCAAGTAATTAAATCCTACCTAATATTCTCATGTAAATATAATTTCTAAAACTAAAAATTTGCTCGATTCCTTCCTCATCCAACACCCTTTGTGCCAGCATCAATCAAACTTCATATCATAATAAACCTACCTTTCCATGGTGTAGACCAATCCCCGCCAATGCCATGAGGGTCAAATCTGTAGCCGCCACAACATTACTGCAGAGTAATCAATGTCAATGTATACTTAAAAATCCAAAATCCCTGCACTATCAATTCTTGTGATACAAGACATTAATATCTTAATATCATAAATACATATACACTAGTTAAAGCTCACCTGACTTGTCTGACAGTTGCGCCTTTTCTTCCATGGTCATAAAACCAATGAAAAATGCCTTTATCATATGCAAGTTTCCATATCACACCATGACCACCAGGCTTGCAAACAGGCATGAATTGTCTGGTGACCAGCCATTGACCATCTTCTGCACTAACAGCTGGAACAAGAGGCTGGCAATTCAAATTAAATTAAAAATGCACAATTGCATCAGCATATTCAAGAGAAGAAGCAATAGTACAGTAATTTTAACAACTTTCCATATCGAACCTGTTCAAAAAGTTTGAAATGTGATCGACCTCTTCCAAACCATCCAAGTCTTTCACAAAGTGATGTGATGCGTTCATGGTTGTTCTTTGCCGAGCTCGTCATAATTGCAACAGGCGTAATGCACTGTTTTCCATACAACTTGAAATACAAGAATTCTCTAGCCTTGCAATGGCAAAGAATTACATTATTTTGAGTTTAAATACACACATGTACAATGTTGACAATAGCTCATCCCCATTGTGAAGCATCAGCCATAAATAAATGAACCAAGCTTGACAAACAGATATCTTGTACCTGAAGATCTCTTATAAGACCTTCCAATAAAGTCCGTCCACAATAAGGAAGCATTGCAGCAGGGAGACATTCACCTGTGTCAGGGTCAACCAAACCAAGCCTGTCTGCAGAACCTCCAAGAGGATAAATTTCACCTAGGTCTGGTAAACCCTAAAAGAATAAAATCTTGTAATTCCAAATAATCTGTGGTACATCCTATATGTTGGAATGAGAAACATAATTTACACACAAACCTCGATTCCCCATAGGGCTGCTTGAGATGCATATTCTGTATCTTGTGAAAGGTCAAGTACACTGGGAGAATGAATTTCCAAGAATTGGCATTCCATTGATTCATTGATGCTCTGGGACCAGTTTATTGTCTGTCGTTCATATGTTGACTGAACAAGAAGCTCTAGTACTGCTATCTGATATCTGCAACCAATACATTGTTTTAGTCAATTAGATAGATAATTTAACTCCAAATAGCTTTAAATTGACAGTGGAAACATCTTTGAAACATCTCAATCAAGTAAAAGAAAAAGATAATCATTTTACTTTAGCAAAACTTAAATTAAATTCTCCTTCTATATAATACAAGGTTTTCACCATAATTTGATATCAAGTTCTTTCATCTTAGTTCATAACAGGTCCAATCCAAAGAATTGAATTATAAACTGTCTACAGAAAAGAGAATAGTTCGCTTGCAATGAGAACATGTATGGGCTACGAGAAAAACCCAATTTTCACTCAACCTCAGCCAAAATAAAAATAAAAAATTGCAATGCAAGCATTGGTAATGTGATGATACTGGAAGGAGGTGAATTTGCAGTACTTACATCTAGCTTACCTGTCTGCAGCAGCATAGCTAATTGGGTTCTTGTGCATAGTGGTATTGGAATAATGAAAATTCAATGGAAAGTGATGCATTTATCAGAACTCACACCGTTAGGCTATGAACAAAAGGTCAGTCATTTCATTTCCCTCTAAATTCAAGTTTGTTAATCACATTGGCAGTCTGGAATTAAGCACATGAACTAAATATCTCAACTCAACCTTGAGTTGAAAAGTAATCAAACAACATAATTGAACTAAAACACGAAAATGGACAACACAGAAGACTAACCCAATGATTCCTCCAATGCAGTCATAGAATTGTTCCATCTCTCCGAGTGTCTTGAGCAATATTCTCAATGCCCCAATCTCTTCACCCTCAACCTTCTTCACCAATCCATCCCCACTATTGACACCCAACTTCTCAATCATTTCAACCAAACCATACAGAGCACTCTTTAAAGGTCCTCTGGCCGACGACGCCACCTCAACCGAACCCAGAACCTGCTCTTGCCCCGCGGCAATGACACATTTGAGCAAAAACAGTTCATACTCGTCCAAATTAAGAGACTCAAAAACCCTAGAAACCCCATTTTTGTGCGCCCCAAAGAAGCGCTTCACTCTGGAATCAGTGTCAATGACTCGGAGCTTATCGTCTAGGGTTGTGGAGTTGGAGAGCTGAGATCGGAGAGATTGGAGGCGAGCGATTTCTCTGTGGAAATCGAAGTCAGGGGCGTACTCGACAGGGGCGGTGGAGACACGGGTGATTCGAAAACAGGGGTGTGAAGAGGATGATGGGGATGGGGATGGAGAGAAGAGAGAGAAAGAGACAGAAGTGAGAGGCTTTGTGGAGTGGAGAGAGTAGTAGTGAGAGTTGAAGAGGGATTGAGGGGTTGGTTTGGTGTGGAAGGTGAAGAGAAGTTTGTTGTTGTGAAGAATTGGAGCTGTGCCTGTGCGCGCCATGGTTCAGACTTGGAGGAGAGAGAGAGAGAAGACAGAGTGATATTTTTGGAAATGAATTGAAGAAGAAGAAGAAGAAGAAGGAGGAGGAGGAGGTGGGGGATGGGGGATAAGACGAGATTCCGGAAGGATATACCGAAGTGTGAGAGAGACAGAGAGAGAAAGAGAGGAGAGAGAGCACGCCAACTAACGAGAATATTTCCAGGACATGACTTTTGGACACAACACAACGCAGTTTGGGACAGTTTGATTGTTTCATGTTCTGGCTTATGTAAATCATGTTTAAACTCTCCCCCAAGTAACACTCATCAACATAGTTGAAAAGTCATGTTATCTTAAAATAAATTTTTTGATTTAAATATTTTAAAAAATTATTTAAAATAATTAAAAAATTATTGAACCAGCATAGCTACGAGAATACTTGGCCTGCAATGAGAACACGTACGGCTACGAGAAAATCCCAATTTTCAGTCAAAATAAAAAATAAATAAAATGCAAGCTTTGGTAATGTGATGATACTGGAAGGTGGCGAATCTTTCTTATATGTCTGAAGCACCATAGCTAATTTCATGCAGTTTTGTAAAATATTTTTCAAGGAGATGGTTTGTCTCCGGTCCATATCAGATTGGAGAGTGTTGTTGGGCTTATATAAGTCCGTCACGAAGCTCGCATTGATGATTTGAACCGTTTAATGCGTAAGACTCATCGAGTACTTTATCTCTATCAAAAAATCTTGTTGATCAGACATTGATAACCACTTGATTAGATCACATTGTTGTATGATCAAATGGCTATCGATATCCGATCAACGTGACTTTTTACAAAGATAAAATATTCGACGAGCCCTACACATTGAACAGTTCGCATAATCGATACAAGTTTCATGATGGGCTCACGAAGACCCAACAGTACCCTTCAATTGATTTTCTCAACTAGAAAGAAACTTCCCCCATTTTTAAGTTTAAAGATATGTATTAAAAAAATTATAATACACACCTCACAAAAATGTATAATTTTATTTCTAAATCACAAATTAATGTAATCTTGTTTTTAAAAAATACGTAATACTTGTCTCTTAACTTGAGAAAACTTGACAGGCTCGTGGGGTTCTCCATGGATTCTATTTCGATAATCCAATTCATTTATTTTGTAGAGTCCTCTGTGCATATTATTCATGACAGAAACCAATTTGATCTAATAATTGTAACATTTTTTTTATTTTTATTGTATTTGTCTCTGATAATTATAATTTTTTTGAAAATAAACCATTCATTTTTTTTGAGACTATAAGAGGGGTTAACTCGAGCCCACGGAATTAAATGGGCCTAATTAGAGCCCGACTAAAAAATCCAAAACCAATGGGCCCAGAGGAATCATCACCAAATGGACCTAAGTAGATCCTATTGAAATGGGCCTGAAAGAATGTCAACCAAATGGGTTAGAAAAGCCCAACGAGCTTATGATTCCAAAAAAGCCCAAACAAGCCCACTCGAGGAGGTCACCATCATAGGGGCATTCGAGGGAATTAAACCGGTGAAACCCTTGGAGGAGATCCATCATTTGAAGTAAGCACTTTAATCTCGAAAGAGTTCGGAACCACGAACCTAGAGATCTCTTAAGCTCGGACTCGAAAAGATTCTTAGCAAAACCTAGAGATCTAAAGCATTTGGCTTCAAACGGATTCAAACGCAATCTAGAAGTCACTCTGTTAATGAGTTCCAAAACACTTGCGAGTTCAGAGCTTTTCAGGATCGACATCCAAAACCATGAGTGTAGCAAAGTTTGAACAAAGGACCCAATCTCGAAGACAGTGAATGAAGATAAATTCACTCTTTGATTAAACTAGTCTATACTCGGGTTAAGGTGGCATGTCCTAGGGGGTCCATGAGACTCGACAATATTTGTGGTAGGGTGTTCTCTTGAAATAGCCTTAACACTTCTGCTACAAGGCGTCCTCTAGGACTACCCCTGACCCTTTGGAATGATTGAGAATTATTAGTTAGGTGTGGCTAAAAACAAGGGTTCATCCAAAAGTTTGTTTCGTCTTCAGAATCTTCTTCATCCTCCAAGAGATGACTTCCTTGGACAAAGTGGTTAGAGAAAATATTCCCGATGTGCTTCCATGTGACTTGCACATATGCTCAATCTTTGATTATGAGTTTCCTATAAATAGCACTCATCCATAGTTTTACAATTGACAATTGAGAGTACACTTGGAGAGAGCTAATCTTCATACTTGATTCATTCCTTGAGAGTGAAAGTGGGAGATCTATAAGAGACTGTAAAAATTTATGTATTATTGATTGATATATGTTGTTGTTCTATATTACAATTACAAGGATTCCTATTATATAGGAGTGTGTTTGGGAGTAGGTGGAGAGTATGTGAAGTGTGGTAGGTGGTAGTGGTAGGTGGAGAGTAGGTGAAGTGTGGTAGGTGATAGTGGGTGAATTTTAACAGCCCCCCGCAAACTCAAGGGGGATAGGAACTAACCAACTTGAGTTTGGAGAGAGTTACAAAACAAGAAAATACATAAAAATAAAAGAGGATAGGAGACACTGTATGGTCGTGTCAGACCATTGGTGAAGACACTGGATGGTGGTGTCATAACGTTGTAGAGGACACTGTATGGGGGTGTCATAACCATGTAGAGGACACTGTATGGTGGTGTCAGACCGATGTAGAAGACAGTTTATGGGGTCATGTCGGACCGATGTAATGACCCCATAAACTGTCCCGACATTGATTCCGGTCAGCTGCTACAATGGTCCGACATGACCCCATAAACTGTCCCGACATTGATTCCGGTCAGCTGCTACAATGGTCCGACATGACCCCATAAACTGTCCCGACATTGATTCCGGTCAGCTGCTACAATGGTCCGACATGACCCCATAAACTGTCCCGACATTGATTCCGGTCAGCTGCTACAATGGTCCGACATGACCCCATAAACTGTCCCGACATTGATTCCGGTCAGCTGCTACAATGGTCCGACATGACCCCATAAACTGTCCCGACATTGATTCCGGTCAGCTGCTACAATGGTCCGACATGACCCCATAAACTGTCTTCAACATAAGTCGCTCATGGCGCACTGGCGCACTCCCTAAGTCGCCCCCTTGGTGCACCACTACAACGGTCCGACATGACCCCATAAACTGTATCATGTATAAGTCGCTCATGGCGCACTGGCGCACTCCCTAAGTCGCCCCCTTGGTGCACCACTACAACGGTCCGACATGACCCCATAAACTGTATCATGTATAAGTCGCTCATGGCGCACTGGCGCACTCCCTAAGTCGCCCCCTTGGTGCACCACTACAACGGTCCGACATGACCCCATAAACTGTATCATGTATAAGTCGCTCATGGCGCACTGGCGCACTCCCTAAGTCGCCCCCTTGGTGCACCACTACAACGGTCCGACATGACCCCATAAACTGTATCATGTATAAGTCGCTCATGGCGCACTGGCGCACTCCCTAAGTCGCCCCCTTGGTGCACCACTACAACGGTCCGACATGACCCCATAAACTGTATCATGTATAAGTCGCTCATGGCGCACTGGCGCACTCCCTAAGTCGCCCCCTTGGTGCACCACTACAACGGTCCGACATGACCCCATAAACTGTATCATGTATAAGTCGCTCATGGCGCACTGGCGCCCCCCTCTTTTTTTTTTTTTTTTTTTTTTTTTTTTTTTTTTTTTTTTTTTTTTTTTTTTTTTTTTTTTTTTTTTTTTTTTTTTGTTTAAATAAGAAGAAGAATAATAATAATAATAATAATAATAATAATAAATAGGTATGGAGTGGGCGGTGGAATGATGGGTTGGTAGTGTCAATAATAACCTGTCAAAAAGTAGAATAAACAATAATAATAATAATAAAAAATAAGTATGAAGTGGGCGGTGGAATGATGAAGAAGGGGTGAAAAGAAAAAAAATAAAGAAAGGGAGATGTATATATATATAAAATAAACATAGATATATATATATATAGAGAGATATATTAAAATAAGAGAAAGTGGAGTGTGGGCTGTCTTTGTAAAGTCCAAGATTATCTGGAGATATATTAAAATAAGAGAAAGTGGAGTGTGGGCTGTCTTTGTAAAGTCCAAGATTATCTGTTCAGCCCGTAGCAGCGAGTTGAAGAACTTCAGCAGAGCTCGATCTGAAACCCTAGCCATGTCGCTTGTTGCAAATGAAGAGTTTCAGCACATTCTTCGTGTGCAGAACATGAACGTCGATGGAAAACAGAAGATCATGTTTGCAATGACCTCTATCAAAGGTATCGGTCGTCGTTTTGCCAACATCGTCTGCAAGAAAGCCGATGTCGACATGAACAAGAAGGCTGGTGAGCTTACAAATCAGGAGTTGGATAACCTGATGACAATTGTTGCAAATCCTCGCCAGTTCAAAATTCCAGACTGGTTTCTGAACAGGAAGAAAGACTACAAGGATGGGAAGTTCTCTCAGGTGACATCCAATGCACTGGACATGAAGCTGAGGGACGACTTGGAGCGATTGAAGAAGATCAGGAACCATCGTGGTCTCCGTCACTACTGGGGTCTTAGGGTGCGTGGGCAGCATACCAAGACCACTGGCCGCAGGGGAAAGACTGTTGGTGTTTCGAAGAAGAGATGATCTGGAAGTTGAATCCCATTGATCTGACAACCTGAAGAGTTTCTGAGCAACAGTGCATTAGCAAGATTATCCAAAAGTTTTGCTTATCCAAAACTTGTACAGGGCCATCTGTATAAAGCTTTGCCCTCAAATTGTACATAGCAGCTGTTAAAAATACTGTATTATTTCAGTAAATTTTTGGATAATGATCTTCTGGGAGGTCTCCTTTTCTTGCAAGGTGCAAGTCATGGGAAGGGGATTGAGAAGAAGTCATTTAACCCCAAGAGAGACTGGTCCAAGAAAGAGGTCTTGGTCAGATCCAATTTTGGGTCTTGGGTTTGGAGGAGAGAGAAGAAGTGAGGGTTGTGTAGAGAATTTTAGCAGACTAGGTTGAGGTCCGGCGGGCGGCCAAGGCGAGATTGTCGCTATTCTCTCTCTTATCTCTTTGCCTCCTTATTCACCCAATCTTTTATCTCCATCATCTTTTTCCTATTGTGTTATTAATTGCAATTGTTAAAGAATCTAAGTCTCACCATCCATTTTTAGAGAATTCGAATTTTTTGGCGATATTCGAATTTTTCGACATATCTTCAAAGTTTTCAGCGAGCCTTTGAATTTTTTGGTGACATTTGAATTTTTCGGCGACTTTCTTGGACCCACTCTTATGGAGGCAAACACGATAAAATAAAAAATATTACAATTGTTGAATAAAGCTAAATTTTCTTATGAATAATATACACAAAAAATTCTAAAAAAATATATTATTTGAATCATTAAGATAAGACCTATAGTGAGCCTCGCGGCCCCTCAAGTTCTTTTAAATTGATATATCAAGCTCAATCCTTTTTAAAATGTTTTATAAAAAAATAAATGAAAACACAACTTCTATATGAGTGTTACTATTAGTACCTCATCAATTATTTTGAATCTCTCATTTCTTTAGTCCCGACTTATAAATTCTAAAACTCTTAAAATTTCTTTTCTTTCCCCAAATAATACCAAAATTATCTTTGTAAAAACATTCAACCCATTCAAATGCACACATCCACACTCCTCACACCTCAAAAAGCCTCTCTCCCAAAACCGTAGCAAAACCCACGATGGTGAAACTTCCCAAACCTAGTGGAAAAAATTTGTAATGATTAAGAAATTTTTCTTTGATTCATTACGAGGTTTGTCAATCTATTTAATTTTTTTTTTCTATTACATCTTTTCACATACACAATACAATCCACTTCATGCTTCTCTAGTTGATTTTCTGTAATTCATCCATGATCTCACTATACTTGTATGCTCCCTGTGTGAGTAAAACTAGGTAGGATTTCACCCCTCGGTCAACCGGCCGGTGGTCCGACCTCCTTTGTTTGCCTGCTTCTGCTGCTACTTCGGTTATTTGTTCCTGAACAAATAAGAAATATTCAGTTACATGTTCCTGAACAAATAAATAATGTTCGGACCTGTGTTCCTGAATTTCGGTCATATGTTCGGGAGTTCAGTCTCGAAAAAATGATGAACAATTTTTATTATTTTTGCTATTTTTTTCAAGAAACTTATCCTTACAAGGGCAATCTCCTCTGAGCTAAGAACACCATCAAAGTTATAAACATTTTCTGAGCTTTTATTGTTGTACTCCTCTTGTCTCATGGGGTTGTGGTTTTTGAAAAAACTTCCACTCATTGTTATTGCTGGAGAAGTGTATGTAAGCAAATGATTGCCACCGTTGCCGCTAGAATATTACCGCTAAAGGATTTTTAAAGTTTTAAGAGTGGGTTGGTTTTGAGGGTGAGATTTTGAGAAAATGGATGGGTGCTGACGGAAGTGGATGGTCTCATAAACCCTAACTCATGATGTAATGGGTGTGTGGGCTTAATTGTGAGATAGGTATTTCAAAATTTTTGATATCCTTTTTATTAATTTCATTTGAGGTTATTATTGTAATAAAAAAAATATAAAAAAAAACTAAAAAAATTCAAAATTCAAAATGATTGATGAAATGCTAACAACAGTACTCCTTCTATACTTGGTTGGCTCACATCTGAATTTCCTTGCTGGTATTTTGTGAATCATGTTGACTCCACAAGTAATTCAGATACTCATACAGATCTAGACCCTCACCCAAATAAAATATAAATATTTTTCCCATGAGTAATGATCGTGAAAAATCACATAAATATATTTTACTAAAATCGATAATTAATATTTAAAATTTAAAATTGATGTAATAATCATAATTTGTTAATTTTAAATTTTAATAATGTATGGTAAATGGAAAATTATAATTATGCAAAGTAACTAAGGTGTTGTTTGGTGAAAATTATTGTAAATTAGAAATTGATAATCTAAAAGTAGAAGTTAAAAACACTTTTTATCCAACTTTCACATATGGGTTTTTAAATTTTATTTATTTAAATTATTTCTATTTAATAAACTATAAATAGAAACTATACCAAACAGTCTTACTACATATAATTTTTTTTAAAAAAAAAGATAAATTACAAATACACCTCTTGAGATTTGCTTAAAATACAGATTATCGATTGTGGTTTGGAAAATTACAAAGACCTCATTGTCAAAAAAATTTATTTAATAGAATTAACTAAAAAATGAATTTATTAGCTGCTCTCTTATACAATATAAAATTATTTGAATTATTAATTAAAATAAATTTTTAATATCATTAAAAATTATTAATTAATTTAATAATTTTTTAATAAAAATAATCATTTATAATGAAATTAGAAATTTCAAATCGTAAATGTAATGGGGGGTTGGTTGTTCTCTCAAAGAATGCACCTTTAACTATTCCCCTCTAACATGGCCATATTGCACCTTAGGTAGGTCTAACTAATAAGGTGGTCGTGGTAGATCGAGCTAATTGCTTAGGGGGAAATTACCCATAGGTCTCATGTGGAACATGTGGACACCATTTAATCTCATAACTTTTTGAATACACTCAAAAGTCCTTTCCTCTCTCTCTCTGTTTTTTGCTTCCCTTCCTCTCTCTTTTTTTTCTGCATTTTTCTCTCATCGTCTTTGTCATGGACGACGACCGGTGATCATGTCTTTCTCCATTGATCGGGGTTCACTGATAACCGCCAACCATCGAAATCAACTCGTGACTTCACTCTCACCGACGACGAAGATAATATATTTCCGATGAAGAAGATGATATATTTCCGATGAAGAAGATGAGTGGATGTACTTAGATCTGATGTAGATCTATCAGATCTGAGTAGATCTACATCAGATTTGGCTAGATCTAAACAAAAAATAGTTTCCGGAGTACAATCTTCTCTCTACATGCGCCTTCTCCTTTGATCTCTTTTTTTTTTTCTCTGCTATACACTTCTGTTTTTCTATTCTAATGGAGAAAATTTTCGAATTCTGAACAAGTAGTTTTCGAGTTTTAGTTACAGGCGGTGAAAACTATAAAATTTTGCAGTTTCAAATTTTTTTGGTGCTGGAATGAATCATGGTATAAAACTGTAAAATTTTACAGTTTCATAACATGTTTCTCAGTTTGATTAATAAGGATAAATGCTTAATAGATTTTTGTTTTGAAACTGTAACATTTTACAGTTTCAAAACTTACTTTTCAGTTTGATCACTATTTAGAGATTATTTGCTTGAACCTTACAAAAATTGAAAAATAACATATGTTTTCCCCATTGTTTTTGTTTGTTGTCGTTTCATTTTTTTTCCTTTTAGTTTATCAATATTTAGCACATTTTGCTATGTTTTTTTTGCTATAATTTATCCATTTATTCTTTTTTTTTTCTGGCAATATTCTAGACATTCCGGTGAGTCTCCAATGATGTTCTTAACATCCAGTGAACGTTCTGAACATTCCGGTGACTTCCATTAACGTTCTTAACACTCCGGCGAACTTCCAGCGAAACTCCGGCGACTTCCCGGCGATGTTGAACATTCTGACGAGTCTCCGGTGACCGTTTGACGGAAGTCTTACTGTAGTAAGATGTGAACAGTGTCTGTAAATTTAAAAAAAAAAAGATTTTTTGGTAACAATTAAAAATGTATTGGACTAATTGGTGCAAGTATTTTGTTTTGGGATTAGCTGGGTTTTGAACTTGGTACATGGGACTTATCAGTAAGTTCCCCTACTCTTGATGTGGAACTAAGCCTTGGTCTACAGTGCTCGACTCAAGCCCATTGCCAGGCTCGATTTTGGGAGCAGACCCACAAAGTAGCCGCTTTGGGTCCCTCAAAAAAAGTTGAAAAGAGAATCTCAAAAATATTTATAATCTTATAGTAGTCTATTAAAAAAATGCTCAATTCAATATTATAAGTTCAAGGGCCTAAATGAATAAAAAGCCCAATCTAAAATATAAAGGGACACTTGGAGGCCGGTCCTGTTGACTGAATTTATTTATCTACAAGTCCTGTTTCTTTTTTCAACTATCAATATCCCAAAAATGCCCTTACATTGTCTCATTCAACACTTAACCACAACATTACTGTTTTCACCTACCATTGAGAGCAATTATCTCCAGTCACCGGCGATAACCTCCGACCTCTGGCCTTTGGTGATAATTTTCAACGACCATCTCTGGCCACTGTCTCTAACTACCGACAACCATCTCCAATCTCTGCTGACTCTCGACTAAATTTTTCAGACCATTTTTCTAACAAAAATAATGTTCATCTCCATCATTACTTACTCACATCTGGTAGCAACAACACACACACACACACACACACAGAGAGAGAGAAAGAGAGAGAAAGATAGAGATATGAAGATATTGGAGAGAGATGAGGCAAAAAAATAAAAAATTTACAAAAAAAAAAGTTCATAATCAATCTTTACTGTCATAGATCATTAAAAGATCAACAAAATAATCAAAGACACTAAGTGATTTGTAAAAAAATTACATATTTCAAATATGATTCACGCTCACACTCACTTACCCACAAGGCACCTCTTCTGATACACACATACAGAACAAGATTGACTGATAAATTTATCAGTGATATATTTAGTGATAATTTCCACTAAACATTTCAGTGATAAATTTATCATTGTGTGA